GTAGACATAGCTTCTAATTGGCTGATTGCAAATTTGGGTACGGTAATTGATGTTAGCAGCCATGAAACTAAACCTGCACTGAGAGCTTCATAGAACTTAAAAAATATCAAAATTTTGAATGTAACTTGAAATTCTAACTTGAACTCATAAATTTAACACATTCCATTTGTCTGAGGACAGCCAAACAAGGATGAAAGCCAGTGCAAAGGAGTTTGCAAAAATCAGGCAGTCTCTGTGTGAACTCTCCTCAGTCCTTATGAACATTTCAGCAGGTACCATTCAAATTCAATAAGAGTACTGGTAGCTTAAGTCAATAACAATACAAGCTTGGGGGTGGCTTCCAAATGGGGAGGGGCACTAGAAGTCCCCATTTAACACTTTCTTTTATGTTACTTCAGTCTCTGATCTTTCACCCCTGACTTTAAGGCTTTAGTTCAAATTATTAAAAAGTAATATATATAAATAAATAAATATAATAATGAAGAATTTTTATAAACAATAATAATAAATAATTAAAGATTTTGCCTTTTTTTTAGTATTTTCCACTTCCGCACTCTCCTCTTTTTTCTGTATATTTTCATAGTCAAAAATGCATTTGACACACACTCAAAAACTTTGTAGCTGTGCGACCATATTCAACAAGTAACAAAATAACCCTGTAGCTTTGCAACCTTGCTCAAAAGGTGCAAAATATTTCCAGAATTGTCTGCAGCACATCCCAATGTATCATAACAATAATTTAGTACTGCCTGGTTGGCTGTATCAAAACTCATTTCGTGACAAAACAACCAAATATGGCACTGTAATAGCACACAATGCCATGTAACAATGGGAAGTTAATTGATTAAAAACACCTGAGGCTTGTAGGATTTTTCCTTTGTGTAGTCCACTTATGGGAACTTAGACACTGAAAGTGTCCATAGCTACTTATGGCAATGTGTAAATTATTCAGAGTGTTGTATGTTGTTTCAAATGGGATTTCAAGAAAGCTTCTAGTGCATTTCTAGGTTTAAGGTGACTTAGAAACGTATCAGGAAGAGCATGGCTGAGGGTAGAACTTCCACTAACTGGGGATACTACCTCTTAGACTACTCATGCTCACAAAGATCTGTCACATGAGATCTGTCACGTGACATCATGTCCTCAAACCCTCAAGATATGGGCTATATGGGATTTCACAATATATTGCATAATCCCACAGAAATTACGTCATATAAATTTATTTAAATTTATTAGCAAATGTTTCTTTCTTTAGTGTCTTACCCAGTGGAATTTTGCCTTTGTAATCCAAGCATAAAGCTTGGCCATCATCATCCTAAACAAAAATGTATCAGTGATGGCAATGTTAAAAAAGAAGTCAAGAAAGATCAACAACATTAAATTGCTAGTTACAGGTTTGGCCTTAAACAACTAAATACAGGCATTAAGATGAGCTTATAACTATCGGGAAATGTCAGGCACAGTGGCATAATGTTAGTGCACTAGACTCTGGATCAAGCAGTCCAGGTTTAAGCCGTAGATGGGGTCATTGTGTTGTGTTTTTATACGAAGCACTTAAATCTGACAGTGTCTCTCTCCACCTGTGTGGAGGACCATCCCCATCTGGCATGTCCTCAGGTGGCTGATAAGGGAATGACCTCTAGATATGGACACCATCTGCGAATAAGGCACACGCCAAATAAGCAGTCATGGACCAAATGGCAGTGGTCATATTAGGGAAGAGAGGGCTGTTGGGTGGCACTGACATCCCCAAGCCAAAAAGTACCCCATGCCCCAAGATATGACAATCTATAGGCGAATGAGTGAAACTAATGTGTGAGCCTGCAAGCCGGAGCTGCAATTTTTTTTCTGTGTTTTTTTAGTTTTTAATTTAACGTTAATGTTTTACTCAGTAAATGCTACACTTGGCAGAAGAAGCAAAAGTTTTCAATTTTCTTTTGTGCATGAAATTCCGTGCGAGTAGTTGTCCGTCCGTATCAAAACGGATTTTGCAGGTCAGTTTCTAGTTTTAGATATGAATGAAATTTTGAGTTTCCCTCACAACTTTTTGTATCAAAATGTTGATTATGTAAAATTGACTAATATCCAAATATAAACAGGGAAACGTTCCAGTGAGGCGAATCTTAGGTAATTATCAAGATGATATGTCAAGACGCACCGCTATGAACGGTGCATAATTTTTCAGGGTTTTCATTAATATTTGAAATAGCAGGAGAGTAGTGTAAAGTAACAGGAGAATGATTTTTTAAAGAGCGAAGCTCTTTCACAGAACGAGCGAAGCTCGGTCCTTCGTAGGGAAATTTAGCCGGAGAATTCTACGTAGTAGCCGGAGAATTCTGCGATTCCCGATGCCTAATGAACACCCTGAATTTTTGTTTTTTGTTTTGGCTCCCAGTTGTCCGTTGTTTTGTCTCTTGGGAAGGCGGGCTCTTACATGTAATTGTTGTTTTTTTTTTTAATAGTTCCCCCGTAAAATCGAAGGACTGGACAACTGCTGATTTCGAGCAATATAAAATTTTGGGGATAAAACCCATTCACTCGGCCCAGTGAAAGTCAGTACAATTTACTGAGCTGAAAAAATTCACAACTCCTTGCAAACTAATAGTCCATCAGCTGAGAGCCAAAAATTTGGGTTTATGGCTCACTTGAGGGAACAGCCAAAACATGTCTCATCTTAATCTTTGACTATTAGGCATCATAAAAATGTATGATAGCAAGGAAAGAATGGTAGCTTTCACTTTGTAAATCAAATTTTAAATTTTGCCCCACATAACCTTGCTTTGACGCCATCTTGGAATTTTGGGGAAGGCTCCAAAGTGGTTTGTATTCCTTTAATGTGAATGAATCGTGTTTCAAATGCAAATTTTAGAAGTACCAGAACTCCAAACATGATGTCCATTTGTTCTAGAGCTTGAATTATAAGTACATGACATGATAGGTAATGTCACAACTCCTGATTATTGGTCACAATATGATCATTATATTTTGCACTTATAATCATTGCAAAAACACTGTGGGGTACGGCTCTCAAAATCATTTCATGAAAAGAGGGCAGGTAGATAAAATATTTGTATAAATTGCAAGTTTGTTGAACCAAAGCTCTCAAATTCATTTCCCTGTTTTCTACATCCAGCCCCAGTTCCCAAACATGCGTTCTCACAAACAAAAGTGTGAAAGTGTTTCCTCTTTACCATGATCTGATCAATAATGGATGAATGCATTGTATGCAGTTGTTAGGGTCCTAGGTTAGCCCTGGAGGCTTCTTAACGAGTATTTGGCTACTACTTCATCACAGACCTACATCCATAAGGAGTTGGCTCCAGTAGCATCAAAGACATCAAAGCTGTACAGAAAGCAACATCAGAAGTAAGTGATGACTTATTGTAAGCCAAGTGAGCAAGGTAAAGAAGACAGTGAATGACTTTGTAACGATCATTGCTCATCTAATCCCACTTCAGATTACTTAGATCCATTGAAGAAAGCCAAGCTGAAGTCTTTTAAGGATCTGTAGGCTGTGCATAAGGTTCACAACGAGGATGTAGTACTTCCTTCCCGTATGCATCGTGATGTATTTGCTCTGATGGCACTTGTCGGACAATTTCTTCCACTTCCTTGGTCTTTTGCTGATTCTTGTGGACTCTCGTGAAAAACAACTGTGCAAAGTCGAACTGTCCCAACAGCTAGAGTGACGCACCACTCACATACAGTTACCAAGAAATACCCCGACAATGCAACCGGTATTTTCAGTATACCTGGAATGGTGGTCTTGCACAAGTAGAATATCTCACCCTCTGGAGGTATGTCTCATGTGGGCACTAAGAGAGTGTTTGAATATGAGCACCGACAACAGGCACGTGGACGTAGTGTTCAACATGTATCACGAGGTATCGATCAAGACTGTTGAAAGATTTTAACGAGTGTCTACCTCTGACGTTGAACAATACAAGAACATACTTCCTACCTACACTGCGATAGGCTACAAGTAGTCCCTCTTTCACTTTCTCCATGGTGCGTGATGTAAGAGAAAACCGTGAGAAAAAATGGCCGCGCAAACTCCTGGGGA